TATATATATATATATATATATATATATATACCACTGTATACATGTGTTTGTGCTCATTCGGCCCAGTCCTGTTCTTTAGCATGTTCCACTCATTAACCGTCTCTAGCAAACATCACAAACACATGTGTCTGCACATATATCACCACAGGTACTTGGAACTAGTTAGATGAAAACCGAACACCCCTAATAAAATACAGTACTACCTAATACACAAATCTCATACATACTTAGTAATATATCATAATGCAATGCAATCACGTTGTATGACATCAATTGAGTAGCACTTCAATACACAGTAGTGACACAACGAATGCGGGGAAATAACCTATTATCGCAACTTGTACGCGATTGGTGGTGAATATTTATAACAATCGTAATTCTTAATAAATCTTATGTTTCTTATAATAATGGTAATGTACTTCGTAGTTTAGGATTGTTTATGTCAGCTCCCACACAGTAATCAAGCGACAGCTCACAGAATAGATAGTTACGTAAGATGGTTCATTCTGCAGAGATTGCCTCACCCAAGCTGACATGCTAAAATACTACACTAAATACCACAGCTGTACAGTAGAAATGAGGTGAAAACTTAAGAAGCAATAAGAAATATCAATAAGGAGGGCATGTGCTGTGCTTGCGGCAATTGTGGAATCGCTAGGTGTGAGAAGTGGACCACACACTTTATTTACATATTTATACATAACCTTTATTATAACGTTGTATTTCGGTGGTCGTTAAAAGCGATGTTACAGTACATGTTTTTTTCAATCACAAACTATAAAAACTCCAGGGTCCAGGCTATAAACTGGCACACACAACACAACACAACACTGGCAGGAATCTATAGTAAACTAAACCGTTCTGAGAAATGATGAGTGAAGCCAACACAAAGAAGGAGAGCGATAGTACATTGAACAAACTGTACTCTGGTGAAAAATGAACTGTTTTCCTGATAAAGCATTGGGACATTCGGAAAGGAACGGCAATCAAAGTGTGTGTGTGTTGGGTACAAGCAGATAATGGATAGATTTTAAGAACCTGCACACAGGTAACTCACCACAGATTGACTCAACCCGTTTGGGCTAAAATGGAAAAAAATCCCCGAGTGTTTTGTCACTGACTATGTTTTGTCACTGTCACATTAATTCCGGAATTTTATAACCTGGGTTCGGTTCAGCTTTTAGTTTTTACACTCAATTTCCTACAAATGCAGCGGTGGCACTAGTATCTATATGCCTGGATGGCAATGAACAAGTCTACGTTTGTGCTGGCGCTTCGCTACTGCGATACTCGCGCTACCACGGCACAATTATCTCCTTGGTATAGCTGCGAGCGTGACTGATAACAATTTTACAGCAAGTAAGATTGTTATCTATTTTTAATAACAGTTCCATACGTTCTACTTTCGATTTACAGATATTGTAATTACTATTCAATAGGCTAAGAAATACTTTATTTATGTTAATTAAGTAATTAATAGATAGGTATATAGTTAGTATATCGCTGTCTAGTGCTGTTCATTACTTTTCTGTGCAGTTTATCACTTTAGCTTAGTATTTCTACGTATTTAATTTTAATATTTCCACCCATTCAGTTACACCATATTTTTATTTATATTTTGTAGCTTTTTCACCATTCTATCATTTAAACACATCTTTTACTCCATACTCATGTCAGCACCTGATTTTAATAAAGATGAACATTGAAACTGATTCGTAATTGTTGTGGTTAACTGTCCACACTCCACACACTTGAGAAAAAGATCAACCTGCTACCCAGAAAGAGGTTCGAACACAGGACCGCCCCCAGCACCAGCCTCCTGCCCCTGAACCGGGGGTTTCTCTCCAGTGTGCTTACGCATGTGTACCTTGAGACACGTAATCTGGATGGCTCTATAGTCACATAAATAACACGCGTAAGGCTTCTCTCCTGTGTGAGTGCGCTTGTGTAACTTCAGAGTACTGGAATAGGCGGTTTTATAGTCACATGAATCACACGCGTAAGGCTTCTCTCCTGTGTGAGTGCGCTTGTGTAACTTCAGAGTACTGGAATAGGCGGTTTTATAGTCACATGAATCACACGCGTAAGGCTTCTCTCCTGTGTGAGTGCGCTTGTGTAACTTCAGAGTACTGGAATAGGCGGTTTTATAGTCACATGAATCACACGCGTAAGGCTTCTCTCCTGTGTGAGTAAACTTGTGTAACTTCAGAGTACTGGAATAGGCGGTTTTATAGTCACATGAATCACACGCGTAAGGCTTCTCTCCTGTGTGAGTAAACTTGTGTAACTTCAGAGTACTGGAATAGGCGGTTTTATAGTCACATGAATCACACGCGTAAGGCTTCTCTCCTGTGTGAGTAAACTTGTGTGCCGTGAGACACGCAAGCTGGTAGGCCCTATAGTCACATAAATCACACGCGTAAGGCTTCTCTCCTGTGTGA